TTGTGCTGGAGTGTTGACAGCATCACTGGAGGGAGAAGTGAGCTCAGATTCTTCTCGGATGTCCTGGAGAGCTAGTTGGTGTCCTTAGACAACCCTGCAAACAGGGCCATACCCTGGGCCATGGTGCCCAGAATAGCTCAGAGGGGGTTGGAGGCTCTGAGGAGGTCCCACTGGCCAAGGGATTTTCTAGGACTGAGGAGGACTTGGCTTGTTATCCAGAATAGCTGATGGGGGTAGAGGACAGAAGCCATTTGGGGACACACATACTGAATCAAATATCTGGGTTAGCATAAGCACAGGCAAGCATGTTCAACATCATTAGTCATCAGGAAAACCTAAACAAATCAGAACCTCAATAAGATGCTACCACACAACCACAAGAGTGGCTTGCAATTAAAAGATAAAACCAAGAGTTGGCAAGGATGTGGAGCAACCGGAACACATCATACATGGCTGGCGGGAAAAGCAAAATGGTACACCTATTTGGGGAAAAGCTTGGTAGTTTCTTCTAAAGGTGAAGGTGCATTTGCCATGTCACCCAGCAATTCCACTGGTGGATGTTTGCCCAATAGAAATGAAAATATGTCCACAGAACCACTTGTGCATATTCACCAGTTTCATTCAAACTAGTCAAAAACTGAAAACGACCCAAATATCCATCAGTTGGCAAAAGGATAAACAAATGATACATCCACATAATGGAATACTACTCAGCAATAAAATGGAGCGGATGCATAAAACAACATGAATGAATTTCAAAGCACTATCCTAAGGAAAAGAAGCCAAAGCTACATACTATGTGATTCCACTTATGTGACATTTATAGGTAAAACTACAGGGACAGAAAACAAATCTGTGGTTACTAAGGTCTGGAGCACGAGAGTGGCTGAGAAGGAGTACAAGAGAAATTTTCAAGTTGATGGAAATTTTCTCCATTTTGATTACAGTAATGGTTACATGACTTCCATGAATTTATCAAAACACATTGAACTGTACATTTTTGAAGGGCAAGTTTTATTATTCCTAAAAAGAAAAAAATATCTGGACAGGTCTAACTTGTGACAACAAACCTGTGCCTTTTCCTCCATCCTCTTCCCTTGGCAAGGGGAGACTCCTCCCTGGCTTACCCTTTCCTCTGGAAATCCAGTGATAGTGGTCATCCCTCCCACAGCCCACTGGTCTTGAGGACTTGGGCCAGAGATGAACTTGACCTATAGGCAGCATCAGTCCTTGACTGTTAAAAGACAAAGGCACACATGATTCAATAACATTACAAGAGATATTGACCAGAGTGTTATGGAAATGATGCACCACCGCATCTGAGCTGGATGCAGATGTGGCTGAAGATAGAGAGTGCTGAGACATTGCAAAGAAGACAGGGGGCAAGCGGCCTGGGAGTTCTGATAAAGTGGAAGAATAGTCTTAGAAAATAGTTACAGCACCAGCAAGGTGAGGATGTGGCTTTCACCAACTGGGATGTTTGAATGAGTGCTTTTGCAGGTGAGAAACTGAGGATCGGAGATGTTAAGAAACATGTAAATGGCAGTGCTCAGATCCAGTCTGCCCCTGAGCAGGCTTTCCTAACCACTACACTTAGTCTCAAACCCCTGACATTCTCTGGTCAGAATTGGCTCTCTCTGTTTCTTATGTCAGGTCTTAGCAAGATGCCAAGACTTTATTTTCAATCAGTCTCTTCCATATAGATGAGGCTTCCAGACCTGCACCACATAGACATTCTGAATGCATGGTCACTTTATGGAGTGGATGAACTGGGGTGGTGGGAACAATCACATCTGGTTGCCACTAGCTGGGGGCAGAAATAGGGTGGCCCTCGGGTGCCTGGCTCATCTGCCCACTTTGTCTTCATCAAGCCCAAAGAGCCATCAATTGTCTCTCCTGTGCAGAGCCAGCACCTTGAAGTACACGTCCCTTCCAGTCTGTGTAGAAGGTTCACGCATCCATGAGGGGCCTGGGTCTTCATGCTCTTTGGGTTTTGGTTTCAGGCTCTGGAAAGTGACTTTGTCAGTGCCAACCTCCACCATTGGATAGACCTTATTTTTGGGTACAAGCAGCAGGGGCCAGCTGCAGTGGAGGCTGTTAATACCTTCCACCCCTACTTCTACGGCAACAAAGTGGACCTTAGCAGCCTCAGTGACCCCCTGATCAAAAGCACCATCCTGGGGTTTGTCAGCAACTTTGGACAAGTGCCCAAACAGGTACAGCATGCCATGTCATTTGTCTTGCTTTCTCAAAAGAGTGTGTGCAGCATGGGCTTGGGGGAGAGAGTGAGAATGTTCTCTTGGGATAGAAGTGAGGGAGATGGCTGGAGGGGCAAAATGGTCCCCAGTCAACTTCCTGGGCCTTTGATATCCGGGCTTTACCCTCAGTTGCCAGCTGATGTTGACGAAGATGATGACATCACTAATGGTAATGGTGAAGGCTATATTCATGTGTGATGTATGTGACAGACACGGTATTTAATTCTTTATGTATGTGTCTACCCAGCTGGATGGTATACATTGAGTTAAGACATATCAAGTGCTTGAAAGTGCCTGAAATATGATTAGCACTCAATGAATGTAGTTATTTGTGTGATTACGCCACTGGATCCTCCCATAAGCTCTGGGGGTAGGAGGTATTCTTTTATGATCAGGAAACTAGGGCTCAGGGAGGCTAAATTAATAGCTACCTAGAACTGCGTCATTGGCAGCAACAGAGATAGAGCTCTAGCCTCATATGGGTAGGGCCGAAGCCTGGGCCATATTGCCACTGGTGCGAGAGCATCTGCCTTCTGCCTGCTGGACCCCTGGTGAAATTGCAGGGGTCTCACCAGGGCCTTTGGCTCCACTGGCTTTGTGTCCCATGAGGATAGTCACTTAGCTGTATGAGGTTGTACGTTCAAGTTGACACTCACGAAAGGTATGCAAGAGAGTTAGGCACTCATTGAACTGACTCCAGCCCTGTTGATCCCCAAACTATGGTTTTGTGTGATGTTTTATTCCTAAACATGGCTATTGGGGGCAGAAGCATGGCCCCACTGGCTGGGCTCCCAGCCTGGGCAGTCAGCAGCCATGCTGGGAAAGCCCGTCCCAG